CCATGTATATATTGTGTCTGTATTTAATATATTTCAATCTTTGTCAATGTAAAGTTAAGGTATTTCCTGGTCCCCAACCCTATTATGTTCACTTTGACAGGCATAATTTCTTCGAATGGATACCTTGTTTGAAGCAAGAAATCAAGTTGTCTTTGTCAAGTTTGTCAGTGTGAGAAACTTTTAACATAGGTCAAGATTCGATATCAAATTTACGAAACGTGAGGCGCGAGGCTTGACACGTACTTGACATCTGATGAATAGTGTACAAAATTTACTACAAACTTGTTAAAATATAAAAATGAGAGATTATCATTTTTATATAATTCTTGATACAATTTTGACCCACTTCCTATCTCTTTTCTCTTCTTCCTTCCTGAATCTTTTATAATACAAAACTTAAGCACTAACATATTTCTATTTTACTTTATTTGAATATGTTTTAGGCTTCTAGTTTAGGTCTAGGCCTAAACATAGGGCCTACACTATATAATATTTTTTTCTACATTAAATTAAAGATGATTGCAATACAAAACATTTCTATTACACACACTATATCATACATCTACATACATCTATTAAATATAAGATTATTTGAAACATAGAGTAAGCCTAAAAGTAGTATTTCTTATTTAAAAATTACTTTAAATAGTCTAAATAAACTAATAAATAATTTTAACCTAAACCAGGGGCGGAGCCAGGAATTCTCCGACGAAGGGTCTAAGCTCCCCGATAAGGTGTCCACCACTCCCCCACTGGGGAAGCTAACTCCCCCACCCCAACCGATTGGAGAAAAATTGAATTTGTCAGGAATTAAAAAAATAATAATATTTTTTTTAATTATGGGATTTTTTCACCGACAAAAAATAAATATAAATAATGTAAATTCCCCGACAGAGGAACCAAAGCGGGGGTCCAATGGTCCCAGACTGGGGGGTCTATTACCCCCTGAAACCCCGCTAGCACCGGCCCTGATTTAAACGTGAATAGAGTATTCTCTACAATAATAAGATTAACGATTGTCAATCTCAATCATATTTATAAAGCCGGTGTTTTGTATTGACCTAGAAGGCTACTTATGGTTAACGACAGGTACTCTCTCGCCATTTAAGGCTTTTTCTATGAAATGATGTTCGAAGCACGAGCTCCTGTAGACCAAACCCAGCACCGTTTTTCGATTTTTAATAGTGGGAAATGTACCCATAACACTTTTAGCAGCGTTATGGCGAAAAAGAAAGCTAACCCAGAAGCCCCCCCCCCCAGTATAATGGCAACGCGGGCGCACTTCCATGAAAGGCCGCCCGTAAGCGGAAAAAAAAAATCGCCGCCCGTATTCGTCTATAGGGGCAGCTCTAGGACCCATTGTAGTAATAATAATAATAATAATAATAATAATAATAATAATAATAATAATAATAATAACAATAATAACATTAATAATAACAATAATAATAATAATAATAATAATAATAATAATAATAGTAATAATAATAATAAATAATAATAATAATAATAATAATAATAATAATAATAATAATAATAATAATAATAATAATAATGTGGAGTGAAGAACGTAATTACGTCACTAAAAATAATCTGAGCATGAGAGATGGTTAAATTCTTGTTTTATGTATTCCAGGATATCTACGGTTTGCAGAAGTTAACGCATGAGTAAATCCGTTCTATGGTCGCAAAGCTCCCTAATTATCGTCATAATACGAATACAGTGATAATTATTGTCATAATCCGAATAAAAATTATCATCGTACGAATAATAATGATTATCTTCATAACTCGAATAATAATTACTATTATCATAATACGAATATTAATTATCAAAATACGAATAACAATTATGAAAATACGAATAATAATTGTCATCAGTATTACCGGTAAAGTGATAGTGATTGAATGCAAGCAAGTTGGGAATTTTGAGAAAAGGGCTGCTGACCAGGAATTTTTAATATAGAAAATTTTAAAAATAACACTAGCACGATTCGATAAAGATTTATCTTGTACTGTATGCGATAAAACATTTCACAATTCAAAACAAATAACCTCATATTCATGGCAAAACGATGAAATCGTTTTTACTACTACGATTTTATCGTTTTTCTTTGATTATGACTTAATTAAGTTGGTGAAAATATTTTGTCATCGTATACAAGATAAATTGTTATTGAATCGTGCTATTGTGAAATTTTCTGGTATTTTCTATAGGAATAATTGTTTTTGGGTTTGTATCGTTTTGACCGTTATCTTCATAGTGTAAACAGGTCCTAACAGGATGAGAAAGAAAGGAGGAGAATAAGAAGCTGGTATTTTGTTTAATAAAAAATGTGGAATAAAATATTATTAACATAATTTCTTTTCTGATTTTCAGATGGTTATTATATATACTTATATTCCCCTTCTACTGGATATCAATACGGATACCTTAAAAGTCCAGCAATACCAGCTACTTGGAGTGATTTTTGTCTGACATTTTACTATTATATTAGTGGAGATGTCGAAACAGTCGGTAAACAAATTATACATATCCAGTATTATTATTCCGAGTTTACATTATATGGCGACAAAAGCAGTCAATGGAAGTATGCCAGTATACATTTAACCAATTTTAGCAATCGTTACCTGCGGTTTAATGGACAAACTGGCGACTCCACAGAAATGGTGGCTGTTGATAATATATATATCAGTGAAGGAATATGCTTGAAAACTGAAGGCAAGTTTATTTTAAAATATCTCCAAAAATGACAAAAAGTTGAATACTATATGGTGCGCTCGCTTACCCTCTAGTGCCCCTGTCTCTTATACACATCTAGATGTGTATAAGAGACGGAAGTCTGTTTTATTACAGTTTCGCAAATATGTAAAAAAGTAACACTTTTATAAGGCAGACCTCCCAACTTACTTCATCCTATCGGGTGTCACCCGATATTTAAACAAATCTCCAGTTCTCCTGATCGAATGTAACAAACCTCCAGAGCAAAAGATGGAATTGAACCAGTGACCAACTATCTGAAAAGATAGCCATGGTTAATGCACAAAGTGGCTACCATCAATTGATCCGACTGAGCTGGTTGCTCTCACCAAATTGGTTCTTTTTATTATTTTTCTTTAAACATTTTGATGAGTGCAAGCAGGTGAATTCAAATGTGTGCAGTCAGGGATGTATTAACCATGACGGTGGATACAGTTGCTATTGCCAAGACGGATACGATCTAATAAAGCAAACTTACTGCCAAGCTATTGGATCAGATCCACTCATTCTTTTTGCAGACCGTTACTCAGTGCTTGAATATGACCCACTTTTGAGGAAAAAGCGAACGATCTCACCAAATCAGAACTTCGCCGTGGCTTTAGACTACGATATCAAAGAAATGCAGGTCTACTGGTCTGACTCAGCTAACGATAAGGTCTACCGTACTAACATAAATGTATCGGGTGTGCCCGAAGTTGTAATCAGTGAAACTGATACATACGGAATATGTATAGACTGGATCTTTCGTAACATTTACTGGGCAGATAGGAGTACCACTACCATTAAAGTTGCAAGCCTTGAAGATCCAAGCAAACATACCATTCTTATTTCAGATACTATGAGTTCACCAGAGGATCTTACTCTTGACCCAAGAATTGGGTATGTCTTATAAAAAAAAATATATATTTAAATTTAAATTATAACAATTAATTATTGTGATTTTATGAGTAAATGTAGAAGATTCGTATTTTTTAAAGCAATTGTTTGGAGAGCAAAGACTAATCCTCGTTAAGACCGACATAGCCTGTCCAGTTTTCTAGGTGGAACAACGGAGTCATAGTTTAAATAGCATTGACTACAACGGCCATGGTAGACGCACAATACTCAGTTCAGATTCAAATCTACCTTGGCCATTCGGTATTACTGTATTCGAAGATTATGTTTACATGACAGACTTGACAAGACAAGCTATAATTAAACTAACAAATTTAATGGAAAACATATCATGTTGGTTGGAGACATTGATCATCCCTTGGGCATCCAAATATATCACCCTCAAAAACAGGTCAACGGTAAGAATGTATTCTTAAAGAAGTAAATGTTTGGAAAAATCATTAATATGTTTTAGTTTTGCTCTATCGGTATTTACCTGTTCTTTACTTAAGGGAATTATTAACCATTGTTAAGGACATGCACCAAAATTGAATGATACTTCCGTTGAGTATTCATGTCTTTGTCCGTCAAACTCCTTACTATTGCAAATGGGCGTACATGTGGGGGATCGGAAGTGAATCCTCTGACACCGCCCTTTTCAACAGTTGATCAAACAGAGGAAAAGCGGACCATACAAATGAGGACCGATAATATCTACGATGGTAAACCATAGGACATTTTTTTCAGTAGATGATACTATAATTTGGGAAAGGTGTCTAAAACGGGCTTTTAAAGGGAAAACGTAATTTGATAGCAACCCCGATAAAGCCAGAAATATAATTAAATATTGCTAAAGTAACTACTAGTAAACAAATACTCAATGGACGAAATATATCTATCTATAACACTAACTATTTAATTTTCCGTTTTAGGGATAGCTGTGTAAAAATATAGGCCACTACCTAAAGTAAGCCTATGCCTACGGGGTTCATCAAGCCCAAAACGGGCTCAAATAGCTTAAAACGGGCCCCTTTTAGAACGGGCCAATAGAACGGACCTGATAAAATTGCAACATTCCTGTGGTAACTTTCCTTCTAATAACTTATCAGTTATAACTAGCTTTTATTATACAATTTGTAGGTTTGCACAATTTTTGCTGTTTTGGTTGTTCGGTATCCAAAATTAGTTTTGTATTTTTTTTTTGTCTTTCTTTGTTTTCTCTTTTCTTTTGGGCTTTATCGACATCATCAACATATCTTTTTTTTTTTTTTTTTTTTTGCTTCTTTTACTTTTGTTTCTTTTCTTCTCTGTGTACAGGATCACTTTGATATTTTTCCCTCTTTGCATCTGCTTTCCTTGAATTGGATGAAAATCTAGACGTGTCTTCTACTCTTTGCCTGTTTTCATATTCTACATTTTTTGCATTTTCATTTGAGAGTTTTATCCTCATTCGCAATTTTGCTTTTTGTCTTCTACTTAATACAGATTTTTTTTTCTTTAGTCTCAATACGTTTACTTCGTTTGTAGAACTAAGTTCTGTAATAGTTTTACACTGTTTCTGTCTTGGTTCTGTAATTTCTTCAAGTGATTGATTAGAATTGTTTATTTCAGGATTTGTTTCTTTTCTTGTTAGTTTCCGTTTATTGGCATAATTCATAGAAGTCTCTTCATTTGTTTATGATGAAAATTTCACATCAATTGTTTTAGTTTCCTCAAAAGAATATAAATTGACATCCACAGATTGTACTACATCAAAATGTATATTTCGAGTGATAAAATGTAAATGCTTCTCTCAGTTAGGGACATCATTTATTCTTCCTGATTTTTTGCAGAATAAAATTGCCATTTCATTTCATTTCATTTATTTCGTCCAAAAAACATTAAAATTGACAAACCAAGAAAACATAGAGCAAAAAATAACACTCAGTTGGCCGGAGAGGATTGCCAAAAAGTGAACTGAATCACTGTTTAATGGCTCTCCGGTGCCAAATAGAATAATTAAATTAGCATAAAATATTCAAGTAACATAGGCCAATCAATAACATTTAAATTAAAAAATATATATGTACAGAATCATCGGTAAAATCGGTTAAAATGCAATAAAATTCGAGTTCGAATAGCAGCAAAAAACAAAAGTTAAAAAGTTCGTTTTACAATAGTAAAATTTGAGACGAAAAATTAAAATAGAATTATTGCTTAGCATAAAATAGTTTTAATATTCTGATAAAGGAGATTCCAAAAACAAGTTTATCCCATCTCTTAAGTCCCATCTCTGATCACTGAATGAGTAAATAGCTGTATCAAGCAAATGTAGCACTGCAAATCCTATTAGCATAATTAATGCCTAGTTTACTACAGATGTTTTCTTTTTCTTTTTTTTTTCTAAAAGAGGACCAAATTTGAGTTTTTTGTCAGGTCTTTCATCATATTCAACATGAATGATTTCTATGCTGTCTTCAGTTTGACTTCTATCACTTTTTGGACCTTCAACATCTTGTATAATAATGTGTAGCTTCAGGTGGATCTAAATGATCTGAATTGCTGGTGTCTATCGTACACGAGTTTTTATTTTGAACATGATGATTTGATGGGTTTGCAGAAACTGTACACAGAACCATATCAGTCTTACTCTGAACATTCACACCAGTTAGTTCAAACTGAGTATTATTTAGATGACAGTTCATTGATTTTGCTAAACTTATGCAGTGACTGTTACCTTGCCAAGATGGCGTGTGATAAGTAGGATACTTTTTTCCATGTGGGCCAAAGAAGAGAAAACCTGTTGGACATTTATAATAGCAAATGTACTTTCATTACAATTCATGAAACATGCATGATGTTGATAAAATTCTTGTTCAAGAGCCTGGTTTACTTACAAAGCTCTACAATCAGCCATACGTTCTGGATAATAATAATAATAATGCCTGTCAATTATTTCAAACTTGCCATTCAAAATATCCAATTATTTTGGCAATTCAGAAACCATCAAAAGGTCTTCATGCATTGTAGAATTTTTCTGAATGGTAGTAATACAACTGATTTCTAAGAGTCAATATTGTGTCAAGATCCTTAGTGTAAAATTCATTTCCATACCTCCTCGATAAATAAAGGATAGCTACAAGATTATTTGCAACAAACTGTTTACCACTCGCACTGCCGAATCTGTAATGACCTAAACTTTTGTTTATATTCAAGCTTTTGCTTGATATTTGCTTCTGCAAATAAGTTTGTAAAAATTAAATAAAAACTTCTCTTTATGTTCTCTTTATTATTCTCTTTTACTGTTTGCTTTTTACCTTTTACTTTTTGCTTTTGGCTTTTTACATTTTACTTTTTGCTTTTAAATAAATATGAAATGGAAACTTTCTTCTGAAAGCAAGATCTCTTCTGAGATAGAATGTTAATGATATTATTTTGATAAGGTTGAAGATGAAATGAAATAGATGTAAATGAATAAATAAACATAAAAACAAACAAGCCCAGTAAACAGAAACAATCACACAAAACAAACTCTAACAATCAGGTACCTACAAGAAAAAAAAAGAGAAAAATTTAAATTACAAAATTATACACTGTAGAAAAAAAAATACAAAGAATTAAGAGTTAAAATGAAGTTTATACTATTGATAACATTGATCATTAATATTATATCCCAGTTTTACAGTAATAATCGATGATCCTACTTCGTCAGGAGTAGGTTTGTAAAATTTCTATTACATAACGCCAAATAAAATATATATTGTCAAGCGTCAACTCCTGAATATATTTTAGAAGAGTGGAGGGGCCCCCTTTGTTTTTATTTTTTTATTTTCGTTTATTTTTTTCTTAAAGCAATATATTTTTATGCGGTCATCGACATTGATTTACAACACCATTTAGACTTAAATTTCACTGAATCTTTAAAACATAAATGGATCACTCCATACATTTTCAACTTCAAGAAAAACATTTAATATAATAAAAGTGTATAATATATTGTAACAAAATTGGTGCAGTCTATATTGCTTAATTATACCCTTGTATAAAATGGGTTAACCCAACTAATTTTGATTGGCCCTTGACTTATAATGTTAATTAGATTTCTTTCTAAAGTTGTCATTCTTAATGCTAATTGGCTCATGCCTGATATGTTAATCGGATTTATTTACAATGGCAGATCCAGGAATTCGAAAGAGAGGTGAACAAGGGAGGAACTTTCACAGACCGAGGAATCAGCGACCTCAGCCCCACCATGGTTGGGGCTGAGGCAAAAAAAAATATGATTAGGGCATCTCTAGATAGCCGGAAATTACACTCTCGCACTTAAATTTGAATATTTTTCTTTTTTTTCCTTAAAAAAATGAAGTGGGGGTGGGGGGGCTTCAATCCACCTCTGCTCAAAACATTCTTTATCCAGAATAGTCAAAATTACGAAAAATGTACATGAAAATCCAGATCACATCCTAAAAACAAACAGCAGTCACTAAGACATACATCAGGTCATACCCAGGGAAGGGCACAGATCTGTTTTGAAAAGTGGAGGGGGAGATCATTTTGTGAGTCGACACCCACCTCAGCCCCACAATGGTTGGAGCTGAGGTGAGAAAATTTGATTAAATATTACCTCTAGATGTCCAGAAATGACACTTTTAGTAAAATTCATCATCATCACATCACCATTAGTCAAAACGTAGCGCCAAAAAAAAAAAATTCTCATGATCTTTTATCATGGATTTTTGACAACTATAGAGATTTTATTAATGTGTGTGTATACCATAGAAAACAAAGCTTAAATACATTGTCTTTGAGTATGTACTTTACATAGGCCTACTTCAAAAACGTGATTTCACAACCACCTCAGCCTCACCATGGCTGGGGCTGAGGCGAGAAAATTTGAGGAAATGGTACCTCTCGAGATGGCCGGAAATGACACTTTTATATAGTAAAATTCATCATCATCACATTACCAATAGTCAAAATGAAACGCCAACAAATTTCTTATGATCTTTTATCAGGGATCTTCTTAATATCCAGGACAAC